TCCAATAAAACTTGCAGTACAAAAACAGTAGCCAAAATAGCTACAAGGTGTAAAACTCTTAGTTAACTAGCTATCTAGAAGGAGGACTATTTTACGAACTGGTCAAGTCCATGGTGTGATACTATGTGCCTAGGCAGGGGAGAAGGATGAGGCTTAACAAAGCCCAAAACCATATCTCCCTCGTACATCTCTTAAAACATCAATGATGATCATGGTCTCTGATTTGAATAATTGTTGATGAATCCTTTGGTTTCTTCCCATCCATACATGGTACACTGCTCCATTCCAGGCAAGCTTGATCATGGTTCTGTGCTCCATTCCATCCGAGCTAATAGGTTGGAGTAAGAATCAAAGAAAGAGATACCAGCCATAAAGGACAAACTTTGCTAGATATGCTTGGTGAATGAACATTTCAAAAACAAATGTTTAGAGGTCTCGAATGTTATTCCGCATAGAGAGTAGGTGTCAATTATACCTTCTGTCCATTGCTTTTGCCTTGCCTTAGTGGTTAACTTATCCATTATAGCTAACTAGCCAATAAAGCTATGCTTGGGAATAGAATTAAAGAACCGTAGTTGCTTAGACCAAGGTACTCTGATATGTTTCTTCCTCAACCAATGCCAAGTTTTCCCCGTTTGGAATTTACCATAAGCATAAGGCAACCAAACTTCAGTATCTCTTATCCTGACTTGAGGATATAGCTCACCACACAAAGTAGCTTGTATTTGGACTAGTAGTTGCCCTGAACTACTACACCTAATTTCGCTTGCAAAGGTATTGCAATATTATACATTATTCTAGTGCCAAGGGCTTCAACTAATGGCCCATTGCTAATTATTATGCCAAATAAAAATATCCCTACCATCTCCTGGAATATGCTTGATGAGTTGCTTAGCCTTGTGTTAGAGCTTGAGAATTTTCCTCTAGCTACAAGAAGCATCTCTAGGACTCTTAATAGTCCAAAAACTAGTGCCTTTCAGTAGGTACTCGTGCACCCAAGCTACCTATATATATAGACCCTATTTGAGGGAAAATCATCCAAATGTACCTTATTATACAAGCAGTATCCCAGCTTTCAAGTCCCTTTAAATCAAATTCCCCTTCTTTCTTTGGGAGACAAATAGATTCCCATTTCACCTTTGTGCCCCTAATATTCAAAATTGAGTTCCAAAAGAAAGCATTGCAATGTTGTTCAATCTTTTTAATAGCTTTCTTTAGGAGAGTAAAGATGGAGGACTAGAAATTAGTTATTCCCTAGATGACAGAGGAGTTTAGTTATAGCCTACGTATAAAAAAGTGGTGCTTAGCTATCTAGGCAGTCATTCCATTAGTAATCTTAGCTATGAGTGGCTTAAGTTCCTTCTCAAATAATTTTTCAGTAATTAAGGGGATGCCAAGATATCTTACTGGGAGTGCATCAACTTTGAAACCATAATTTGTAGTAAGAATATTAACTGTATTGGCAAAAAGTCCACAACAAAAAATCTTAGATTTGTTATAGTTCACCTTCAAACCAGAAATAGAGTAGAAATCTTGCAGCATCTTATCAATAGTAGATAAAAAAGAAATCGTACCATTTGTAAAAATGACCAGGTTATCCACAAAGCACAAGTGATTGAGTTGAACACTAGCACAATTTCGTTGGAATGCTATTTGGCCCTTAGAAGTTGCCTTATTCAACATTCTAGAAACAATTGCCATGCAAATAACAAGGAGATAATGTGATAAATGTTCCCCTTATCTAATACCTCTCCTCTTTGGAAAGCTTCCAATTATATCTCCATTGAAGGAAATCGAACACATAGCTGTAATAATGGAATCCCTTATTCCATCTATAAACTAAGAAAGAAACCTTAAGGCTACCAAAACTTGAAAAACAAAACTCCAATAGACAAAGTCAAAAGCTTTCATTATGTCAATTTTTAGTGTACATCTAGGGCTCAGATTCTCTTTGTGGTAATGCTTGACCAGTTCATGTGCCACAAGAATGTTCTTTGCCATTAATCTCCCCTCAATGAAGGCATACTAATTTCTACTTTCAAATAACGACAAGCATTTCTTAGGCAGTTAGAAATGATCTATGTTTTGAATTTGTACAGCAAATTGCAACAAGAAATAGGCTTATACGCAATCATTTTGGAAAGGTTAAAGACCTCAAGGACCAAAGAGATTATTGTAGAATTCGTTTCCTTTAGGATCTTACTATAAATAAAAAAATTTTGTATGGCCTTAGTGATCAAGTTAACTATTGCAAGCCATGCAACTTTGTAAAATTCAAACCTATAGCCATTAAGCCTTGGTGCTATGTTTCTTGGGCTAGAGAAAGCCACATTCTTAATCTCATCTTTAGAAACAAACTGAATAAGGGATTCTTGTACTTCAATTGGCAACTGAAAATTAAGCAAACCCTTAAGCCATGTAGCATCCACCTCATTGTAATAAGCATCAAGAGTCCCCAGTAACTATTTATAAAATTGTGTTGCCTTAGATTCCATCTCAAAAAGTGTGGTAAGCTTTTTATTTTTTAAATCTACAAGCTCTCTCATTGTACATTTGCTTTTCCTTTCACAACTTTATGAAAGTAACTGGTATTTCCATCTCCTTCATTGAGCCACCTAATTTTATATTTTTGCTTAAAATACATTTCCTCCTCTTATGGCAAATCAACAACACTTTGCACATGATCCTTTTCAATTTGAATCAAATCTACATGGGGATTTGTTAATAACTGTATTTGTACAGAATGTAACTTGGCCTTCTCCTGCAATAACTTATTAGAAAGATCACTATAGCATTCTTTGTTCAATTTCCTTAAAGCAAATTTTAGAGCTTTTAATATTTTGCAAAGTTAAAACATATAGCACTCTGCAATTTCATTCTCATCCCAAACTTGCTTTACAATAGTTAAAAATTGCTCATTCTTGGTCCAAATGTTGAAAATTTTAAAGGGCTTCCTTCTCTTACTTATCATACGTGTTGAAACCTCTACTAAGCCAACATAGTGATCTAAATAGCTAGGAGGAAAAAATTTAGCTTTAAAATTAGGGAAAATATCAAGCCAAGCTTCATTTACTAGTAACCTATCAAGTTTCTTTGCAACAAACCTGTTAGACCTTTTGTTTGACTATGTAAAAAGGGGGCCTGTGGTAGCTAAATCATGTAGTTCTACTACTCTTAAGCTATTATGGAAAAACTTGAGTTCTACAGGGAGGCAAACAAGAGATTGCCAATTAGACCTTTATTAATTAGAGAGATCTTATTTCATTAAAATCACCACCTATTAACCAGGGAGTTGAAGGTAGGGCTTTGCTAATTACTTTTAGGTCTTTTAACAATACTTTCTTCTAGCTTCATCATAGGGATTAGCATAAATTGCACTGAAGGACATATATTGATTAGATCTGGCAATGAATGGACTGGTGACTCATGATTGAGATGTTAACCTTAAGGTGATCCTTATAGAAATCCAAATTCTTCCTAGCTTTGCATGATCATATATAGTTATGTATAAAAGACCAACCAAGAAATAAAAAGCTACTCACCTCATTGAATTTATGCTATTGAACATGTGTCTTGAGGAGGCAAACTATATCAGTGTCATACTAAATTAAATACTTTTACTGATCCCCTTTTTTTTACTAGGCATATTAATATCCCTCACATTCCAAATAGAAACTTCATTTTAACTGTAAGGATGATACCTCACTTGAGGGATGACTACTACTTTTGAATTGCCTTTGTTTAGTAAGCAAGGCTTTTATTGTTGCTACTACACCTTTGAGAGGTATATAATTTATGTAATTATTAGATGGTTTTTGATTGAGAATGAATAGTTATTTTTTGTTATATTACCTATTACTAGATCAAATGAACTTAAAAATATGTAATTACTCAAATGTACTTGAGAAAAAAAAGGTCTGATCCATCATACCTTGTTGACATCAATATCTTTATCTTTCCCTTTACTCAATTGTTTTAGTTGTGACACTTTAAGTTGACACATAAATGAGAAATATATTGAGTATATGCTTAGTACAATTATTAACCCTTAAAATTCCATATTCATCGCATTTAATTCACTTGACAATCCTAAAATGCATTTAACATAAAAAAAATGGTATTTAAGAATTCAAAAAAAAAAAAAAAGAACTTTTATCTTTGGCTAATAAAAAAAAAATCTAAAAATGAATTAAATAAAACTTAATATCTTCAATTGTAAAATTAGGGGTGTGATATTGTCACATTTTCAATAGTTAATGTTATGAACTGTATTTGTATTACCTCAACATTAATCACTGTCAATGGTTCTTTTTTTATGAATTCTACCATTCCTAGGGTATTCAACATGGGGATCCCATCATCCTCTTCCATTTTCATTCTTTGCCTTAAATATCTATCCTTTCTAATTGAGACCAAATGCAACTATAGTGATTAGGAACCCCTAAAAGCTTATAAGCACATGCCAAAATTCTCTCACCTTCTCTTTGCTGACGGCATTCCCCTTTTTGAAAAAGTTACTCCCTCTACTACCACAACTGTCAAAGGCATCCTTGACCTTCTTAGCAATTCTTCTAGCCTCTCCATCAACCACACCAAATCTAAAATCCTCCTCTCA